ACCGAGCGCCGCCCGCACCCAGAGCGCCTCGGCGTTTCCGTCCTGTCTGCGCCGCGCGCCGGAAGTGGCTCCGCTGCCCCCGGGCCGGCTGCTCCCCGCGGGGACAAGTCACTCGTTCGCGGGGTGAGGGGGGGGCGGCAGGTCTCCGGAGGTGAGGACCCGGTAGGCCTAGCCCGGCCGGGAGGATGCAGTCGGGACTGGGCCTGCGCTCGTCTCCTCCTCGTACTCCCGGGACGCGGGGGGGGTGAGCGATAGATATATTGCCAAAATAAAAAAGCGAGGTCCCTTGCGGTCATTACGAAGCCCCGTGAGATCCTGGCTGAGCCGCGGTGCCGGGTCTGTGCCGCCGAGCAGAGACGTCGGACGGTTTGAAAGGCTCAGACGGGGCGTCGTGCGGGGCCGGGCTGCGGGGGGAGCACTGCGGGGCCGCCGCGCGGGAGAATCTGCTGAACGCGGGACCTCCCTGCCCCGAGACGTGCGCGGGAGGCGAGGCGGGGGCCTCGGAGGGCAGCGAGAGCCGCTCCGCTCCGCTGTGCGGGCGGCCACCGACTCGCTCGCTCGCCCCAGCCAGCGTCCGCCCGCGAGCCCGGCTCGCCGCTCGCAGGGGGCGCTGCTGCGGCTTCGTCGCCGCGTCTCCGGTCTGGGGTCCGCTCCCAGCGCTCTGCCCGGGCCGCCGCTGCTGGTGCGGTAGTGCACAGTGCTGCACAGCTGGGGTACAGCCATGCACATGTGGGGTGCCTGGTGGTGCACACCCGTGACGCACGGCAGTGCGGTCTTGCACATCTGGGCGCGTGGTCACATCCGTGGTGTGCAGCAATACAGTGGTGCACATCTGGGGGGGTTGTACATTTTGGGGGGGGTGCACATCCGGGGGGATGGTGCACATCCGTGGTGCGCAGGAATGCAGTGCACATCTGGGGGGTTGTACATTTTGGGGGGTGCACATCCGTGGTGCGCAGCAAAGCAGTGGTGCACATCTGGGGGGTGTACATTTTGCGGGGGGTGCGCAGCAAAGCAGTGGTGCACATCGGGGTGCGGGGTGCACACCTGCGGTGCCGCAGTTCACGTGTGGGAGGACGCGCACGCCCCGGGGCGCGCGGTGCACTGTGGGAGGCGCGTTGCGCCCGGCGGCGCTTTGCGGCACTGTCGTGCAGGCGGCGCGGCGCTTTCCGGCAGCCGGACTCGTTGGCGGCCCGGGCGGTGCCGAGGCCGGCGGAAGCGGAAGTGGGAGCGGGGCGGCCGCGGCGGCAGCATGGTGAGGCGGGGCGCCCACGTGCGCGGGGCTGGTGCAACCCCCCCCTTTCCCTCCTCCCGGGGTCCCGCGCGTGCGGGACGGGGGCTGCGCGCATGGGCTGGCTCCGTCGTGCGGAGCGGGCGCGGCCTCACCCCGCCTCTCTCTCTCCCTGCAGCTGCCCCTGTCGCTGCTGAAGACGGCGCAGAACCACCCCATGGTGAGTGCGGCCCGGGCTGGCCCCGCCCCTCCTGGCGCGCGGGGACGGAGAGCCGCTGCCTCGGGGTGCATTGCTTTCATTGCATTGACCGACTCTCTTAGCCCCGGGCCAGGCCTCGGGTGCAGGGTCGATGTCCTGGAGCGCAGCCTCAGGGGAGTCTCCTCTTGCCGCAGCCTAGGCGAACCGACGTGGTCGCGAGTAGCGTCCACCTGCGGGAGGAGACTCGGCCCGTTATCCACAGGGCAGCGGCTCTAGCCAGGGAGCAGAGGTGGGCGTCTGCAGGAGCTTTCTCCTAAATCGTAGACTGTTCAGGCTGGGGTGTTGTCACGTGCTGATCTAGACAGCCTCATCATCACGTGCTGATCTGGAAATTTGCTACCGAGTCTCCGTGCCAAAGTGTGATGATGAAGCCTCTTGCCTGAGTATACCCTGGATTTGGGCACGTTGCCTGTGATCGCTGCTATTCATTTCCTGGGTTGCTGGTTGTTTTATTTAACTTCCCTGTGTTTTCAGCTGGTGGAACTGAAGAATGGTGAGACCTACAATGGTCACTTGGTGAGCTGCGACAACTGGATGAACATCAACCTCCGAGAAGTCATCTGCACATCCCGGGTAAGTGCTACCTGTTTATCCTGCCTTTGCTGGTGGCCTGCCCCAGAAATCCCCATGCTCGCTGGAGCTGGTTTGGTTGCTCCTCGTGCTCTGCTCCAGCAAGCTCATGCTCCAGCTTGTGTCTGTGAGAGATGTCTGATAGCAGTCAGTCTGTTGGGTATTTTCCCTGTAAAGTTTAACACCTGAGATGTAAAAGTGAGTGTCTCTCAAGTACAAATTAGCGCTTTTACACGTGCTACAACAGGCAGAGGAGCTAGTGATAAACTCATGAGAGGGAAGTGCCTGTTCTCCAAGCTGGGTGCCGTGACTGCAAAAGGAGGTGTGCCTTGCCTCCAAATTCAGAGGAAGCGAGGTCCAAGGAGGAGGGCAGGAGGCGTGTGTCGGACAGGGTGACATGGACACTTCATGAGACGGACTGAATCTGCCCAGACCATTGCTACCCTGCTGCTGCGTGGGAGGCCTCAGTGTGCTGGTGTTGAATCTGGCTCAACCGCACAGTGCAGCCACGCTTGGCGCTAATCCTGCCTCACCTTTTCTAGGCACTGGTCTCATTGATGTAGTTCCTATGTGGTTCAACTTCCTTTTAATTCTCGTCTGTCCCTGAAAACCATTTGTGATGAAGAGAAGCGACTCTGCCTACCAGTATTAGCTGCGCTTGCCTGGTGTCTGCCTGCTCTGGCGAGTCCTGAGTGCACCTGGCCAAGGGCGTGCGAGGGCTTCTGCCTTCTCTCTTGACAACACTACAGGGAAACTTGCAGAGCTCAACACCAGCTCCCTGAAGTCTGCACGATCAGGTGCTGCCTGGCTGGGATACGCTGCGTGATCCTCACAACTTGTCCATCCTCACTCCCTTCAACGCCCAGCCAGGCTTGCAATAGGAGACTGCGGATGGCAGAAGTCTGTGCGTCCTGCTGACTGGGCAGTGGGGTGGTTGGTTGTGCTGCTTTGTCAGTGCTTGCACAGCACAGGCTGTGTCACTGATGCAGCAATCACAAGTGCTTGGGCTTGCAGTGGGGCATTACCGAGTGCAGGGCTTGCTTTGTGTCTCTGTGAAGGTGGGAGGATTAGCAAGCTTCCTCCAGGGCACCGAGTAGTTCGCATGTGGAAAAAAGCAGTACAGTGCTGCACCATCTCCCTGCCAGCACTCTTTCTACCAGCGTCTGTATTCCCTAGAGTCCTAGATGACCTTGCAGGGCCCCTCCAGCCCTGCTTTGCTGTAATTCAAGCACAGTTCTATTCTTTGTCTCCTCACACTGCCATGTCCCTGCATCACCAAAGGACCATGGCTGCAGTGTGAAAGAAGCTCCTCCTGTGCTCCCTGTCCGCTGGCATGGGTGAAAACCTTGTGTTTGAATTGATGTCCATGTGCATGATGAGCCCCAGGTTTTGCTGTATGAGTCTGAGCCAGTCCCTGTGGAACGACCCGATCTCTGACACGGGTCCATAAACCAATTCGTTAGGACAGTCTTCACACCCACACAGAGCTATTAGTGTTTCCTTTTATTGGCTGACTAAGCTCCTGCCACCAGGGGGAAATCTTCCTCCTACTTGTTCAATCCAGCAGACTGGCCTGGCAGGATCAGAATGCATTACTGGGGTTGCCTAACAGGGCGGTGAGGCAAACACCCTGATCCCCAGCCCTCTCCTACAGCCCAGGAGCTGGCTGTTCCCACTGAGAACCTCTGCCTCTTCATCCTGCAGGGATGTGCTTTGTGCACTGCGGGGGCTTCCCCTGCTCTGTCTGGGGATAGTTGCATGAAAATCAAATTTTAATTGCTTCTAAATCTCTTCTGCCACTTCCCTGCCTGCGGTCTCCTGCTCCTCACTGGCAGAGATGTGTCACAGAAGCCTTGGAGGGGATTCAGCAATAGCTTTTTGAGAGTTACTCTATGAGGACCAAGGTCTGTGGAGGGGAAGGTCCTTCCCAGAGCAGTTCCCGCTTGACCTGCATCTAGAGGGAAATGACAAAGCCTCAGAGGCTCTGAGGAAAGCATGGCAGTCATGATACAAGCCCCCAGGAAATCTGTCTCCACCCCAGGGAATTGTACCCCAGTTCCAGGAAAGGGCAATATCCCACAGCAAGGTAGCTGCTTCCCAGAAGAGCTGTTTCTCTGGGTGTGGTGGCTTGTCATAAGGCAAATCTGCATAACCTTGGCCTGGCTTTGACTTACAGTAGACCACAGTGGAAGGCCCCTTCCCCATTAAATAATCAAGAGAGAGGATGGTCAGGACTTTGGGTGAGAGCCTGGGAGCTGGGTGGTAAAGGCCCAGAGCCATATTGGTTTCCTAGCCATGCATGCTTGTGCCAGAAATGATGCTGCCTCTTGCTGCGGTTCCTGCAGCAAGTGGGGGAGGCTTTGCACTGCTGTGGTGTGAGAAGCGGTGACCCCCCAGGCCGCCCTTTCTCTGTTTCTGCTGCAGCAGCAAGTTGGCCGTGGCCACCCTGCTGTTGGTGCTGATGCAGCTGACACTTAAAAGAATACACACGCCGGGGGGAAGCAGGCAGGCCTCCATGGGATGCGCTGCTGTGGCTCCCTAGCTAGTTTCCCGGAGTCAGCCGCTGGGTGGCACAGAGCTACACCCAGAGCAGTGAACTGGGCTGGCTGCGTGCTGCAGTTTGTTTGTTTGCTTTTCAGAATCCAGAAACAAGGAAGTGAAGGATCCTGATGGGTTTCAGTGTCTGGTGCTGGGGCTGCTGGGCGGGGGAGGATTGAGCGGGCTTTGGAAGGGAGCTGTTTTCCCGGTGTGCCTGCCTTATGTGCTACAGCTCCTCCAAGCAAGCAGCTCTCGGATAACCCTTGTGGGCACAGTTGGCTTGCAGCCAGGTCTGTGTCCCTGTTTAGGCCCCCCCACCCCAAGTAAGTTATTTCAGAATCGGATGTCCACATGTGCTGTGGCGTCCTGGGAGTTGTGTAGCAGCAAGCTCCCTCCATGTCGAGCACGGTACAAGTTAACAAAGGCAGGGCGGGATCTCTTCTCCCCTCCTCCAGTGACATCACGAGCCAGCCTGTTCTGGGCAACTGTTCAGCTCAGCCATGTCCGTGACTTCCCTTGTTCCCACCACCGGGCTGGTCTGGGCGCCACATTCCAGGGGCAGCGTCCTCAGGAGGTTTTGAAACTCTTCTCCTGAGGAAGCAAATGAACCAAGCATATTAGGGCAGCCCCAGGACTTAGCTCTGAACCTGGTCTTTGGGCTGTGCTGCTGCAGCCCCCTGGTCTCCTCCCAAATGTGCCTGTGGGTATCAGCCCCCATGTTCACCCTGCTCTCTGCAGCCTCTACCAACATGGCCCTCGAGGCCTGCGTTAGCACCCTGGATGCTGCCAGAGGGGTGGAGCTGCTGGGCCCCTCCCTGCTGGGGCTCCCAAGCAGGAAATCTCCCTTTGCTAGGAAAGCCCTGTCCTTTTGCCTGCAAATCGGCTGTTCTAAGCTATTGTGTTTCCCTTTGTCCCTTGTTTCCTTTCCACCCTTGATCTTGGTCCCTGTCAGTGATCTGCAGAGTGTCCCTAGGGTAGTGGCAGAGAAGGGCCTCTCCCCTCCCCTCCCCCTTGTCTCTCTGCGTGTGTGGTGGAGGTTGTTCCACCCGCCTTGGGGCTGCTGTGTTGAAATGGCAAAGGCAGATGGGGAAGTCCCCTCCCCCAGGTTTGGGGCTTGCATTTATTGTGGAGAAACCCAGCCTTGCCAATGAGGCCCCATCATGGTTTTAAAAGAGTTGTGTCTCTTCCCTGAAACAGTGGGGCCAGCTGGGTGCCCAGAGCAGGCTGCGTGTGCTGGGGTCCTGTGCCAGCCTAACCCTCACTCTTCCTGCCAGGACGGGGACAAGTTCTGGAGGATGCCAGAGTGCTACATTCGCGGCAGCACCATCAAGTATCTGCGCATCCCGGACGAGATCATCGACATGGTGAAGGAGGAGGTGGTGTCCAAGGGCAGGGGCCGCGGTGGGTTGCAGCAGCAGAAGCAGCAGAAGGGCCGTGGAGCTGGAGGCACGGGGCGAGGTAACAAGCTGTTTGTTCTTCAGGCATCGGTGGGGTAGAGCCAGGCTCTGGCTGTCCCTGCTCAGCTGAGCGCTGGGAGAGGGAGAGATCAGTTTTGTGAAGGGCCTGTCTGAGGAGTGAGTCCATGGTAGGTCTGTCAGGAAAGCAGATTGGCCTGGGGAGGGTCAAGGGGACAGAGAGTCCTGCCTCTTTGCCTAGCTAGGTAGGAGATGACCAGGCACCTCCCTGAACTTCACCACAGCAGACTCCTCTGGGGCCAGCGTGTTGGGACGTGTCTGGGGTGAGCCGCACACTCCTGCTTCTTGCCCGAGTGTCAAGCTGCCACTTTATTGGCGCGTCAGCTTGAGGCCGTGAGAAGAGGCTGTGCCTAAACATGCCTGGGCTCTGACTGGTGCAGAGAGGGGTGTTCTCTGCCTCCTGGAGCGCCCTGCCGTTCCCTCCCCTTATCTCTTCACTGAGCAGAGTCCGGCTTGCCTGTCTGCATTCTTGTACCTCCTCCAGAAGGGCCTGGGTGTGCTACATGGCGGCAGTGCCACTTACCTCTCTGAATGCCCCTCCCTTCCCCCACCCTCCAAGAAACCAGTCAGGGCTGCAGCTGCCATCGAGATCTCTGCTTGGGGTTCCCTTCCCTGCCCAGCAGTCCCCAAGCTCTACTGCAGGCCCGGGGACTGCTGCCTTCCCATCCTGCTCCCCACCTGTTGTCCGTGGGACATGGCGAGGCTGTGGGCTCCCTTCTGTGGCCCCTCCGTGAAGCTGCCCCAACGGGTGTCCTGGCCCATGTGCTGACATGGCATAGGTGCCCAGTGATGCAAGCCCAGCTCTGGGTGCTGCGGGGCTGCGGAGAAGGGGTTACACCCTTGTTTGCGTGGAGTGTCTCAGGCTTGTCCCTGGCGCAGCCTCATGTCTGGCTGCTGGTGC